ACTCCATCGAGCTCCTTCTCCGCCCTCGAGGGAAGAGTAGGTAGGTGGCATGGGTGTGGGTGTTCATCTGGAAACTAGGCCATGGCATCTACCTTCTGGGGTGTCATGAAGATTGTCAAAGCAACTGCAAGACTCAAGGTCAGGGTCGTATGTAGGTGTTTGCTCTGCAGGAGGAGAGGGTGGGGGAGGTGCTGGGATTGTGCCCTCCCGGTGGAGGTGCTGACACTGAGAATGAGGTTGCATCTCACCCCTGCCACACGGTCAGTAGGTTTGACCACCACTTTAGACAAAGCAAACACATCAGGCCTTAAGCGGGCTCTGTCTGGTTCCTGCGGGAGGGAGGCATGAGGTGAGCAGGAATGGGTTCGAATGTGGAAGAATCCATGAGCGGTCCCAGTGTTCCTCTGGGCAAGGTGATGTGCCAGCCTTGGCCTTGGGGTCCAGGCTGCCTGGGATGGCGTCCCCTGATCCCAGAAACACCCCCACCACGCCACGCCTTGTATGCGTGCTCCATCTCTTAATTAAGTCCGTTCTGCTGGGGGCCTTCCTGAGAGTGTTCCTTTCTGTTCCTTTCCTTCAGGGCATAGATCCAGGTCACAGGCAGGAAGTGATCAAACGGTCAAAAGTGCAGAAAGCCCGGAAGGATGGGGAAGGTAGCTGAGGGGTAGCTGTTGAAACAGGTAGCGGGGTTCTTGGCCCACAGATTCAGCGTGGTGGGGCCGATTCCCCAGAGACAATGGGGGCCTCCATGGAATTAGAGGTCCTTAGACTCCTGCTTAGGGCGTGCAGGGTTCCCACCGACCCCTGGCCAGAACACGGAGCTTCTCCAGCCGAGGTGGGAGTTGGACAAAGAACTCTTCAATTGTTTCAAGAGTTGGACAAGTAAGGCTAATCAGACCAAAGAGACGTGATTTCTGGAGCATCCCTAAGAGATGAACCCATGGCACAAAGTAGGGTCCCTGCCCTTAGTGTCTGGTGGGAGACACCTACACGTGAGGCTAGAGGGTGGGACCGTCCCGATCTCAGTCAGCCTGGGAGCAGGCAGGGCCAGGGGCCTGCCTGGCGTGCTGGAGCTTTCCCCTGGACACCGGCTCAGGCAGTGAGCCCCCGACGGCGGTGTGACCCGGTGGGATGAGAAGGGGAGGGAGTGGATGCTTGTTGGGGTGTAAGGCTTGCTTGGGGCGTGCTCCCTATATTCTGTTATTTCTTGCACCAGTCTTCCCAAGCATCCCTGTGGGAGGGCCACCACCTTCCTTGTGCAGACAAGGATACTTAAGTCCCGGGTCACGCAGCCAGCAAGAGGCAAGTCCGGGAGTGGGACGAGCCTCCTTCTAGCCCATGGAGGCTCCCGCACACCAGCCAGTAGCTGTGGGGAGTCGATAACGCCCCTCCCAGGGGTTCCTTGCTATTCTTTGAATTTTCCGTTTTACAATTTTAATACCATTTTCCCCATCACGATCAGAACTTTGGTCCCTGCCTAATTTGGTATTTGGGGTAAGGCCCCATCTTGGGGAGCCCAGCTGTCCTTTTCCAAGCATATGGCCTGGGGTCCCCCTGAGGTGTGGGGCTCTGAGATTCTCTGCTGGAGCTTGGCCTTGGGACTAGCCACCAAGTGACATCTTCCAATCTTACCAACCACAGCACTGCAACCAGCTTGTTCAAGGACAACACCTTCCCTTGGTTCTGGGAGTTCCTTTTATGAGCCCTGCGCTCTGTAAACATTTGCTCCTGGGAAGTGTACATCATTTAATTTGAATTTGAAAGACAATCCAGGGGCGCTTGGGTGGCTCAGTCTGTTGAGCATGTGACTCTTGGTTTAGGCTCAGGTCATGATCTCAGCCTCAGGGGATGGAGGCCCCCCCACTGGCTCCACGCTTAGTGGGGAGTCTGCCTGAGATTCGCTCTCTCCCTCTGCTCCTCCCTACGCTCAAAATAAAGAAATAAAATCTGTAATAATAATAATAATAATAATTAAAGACAACTCAGCTGCATGTGGTTTCCAATGTGTCCCAAAGTAAAATTTTGATTTTTGTGTCCCAAACGCGCCCCTCCGTGGCTCAGTGAGTGGCGCCACAGTTTACCCAGGCGCTCAGCACCCACCCCCGGTTCTCCCACTCGCAAACCCCGCCTGCAGCTCCAGCGTGTTATGCCCCGAAGTGGGTCATTCCTGGCACCTCCGGCACCCCCCCGCCTCCATCCCACTTCTGACTACGTGCCGGAGCGCCCGGCTTCCTCTTTCTCCCTGGAAGGATTCCACTAAAATCCAAGCTGGACACTTCCCGCCCCTGCCCACAGCGGCAAACGGCCTCCTCCGGCAGCTGGAACAAAACGTCACGTCCCCGTCCCTCGCTGGTGGGCCTGCGGTGCTCCCTCCGGCCGCTCGGCAGCCTCACCTGGACCCTGGTCCGTGCGCTCAGGCCGTCCAGCCCCATAGTTTCCTGCTGCCCCTCGAACGCAGCCGCTGGCGGGCCAGGCCCTCTGCCCAGAAAGGTCTCCGCCACTCTTTGCCTGGCTGGTCCCCCAAATGCATGCAGCTGATCTGCTCAGAGGTACCCCCCCCCCTACACCGGACACCGCGGGATGAAAGCTCCTCCCCACCCTCCTCCAATCCGGGTGGGTCTCTCTCTCTCTCTCTCTCTGAGGAGCCCGCGTCCCTTTCCCCTGCGGTGCTTGTCCCCCGGGGACATCCGATCGTGTCACTGTGCACTGACCGGTCTCTCCAGCGAGCACGCAGGGCGGTCTGTCTGTCGGGACTCGGCCGGACGGCCCGAGCGCAGGCGGCCCGGAAGGAGTGTGCGCGTGAACGCAGAGCATGCGCCGTTGCCAAGGGAGGCGACCGCCACGTTGGGCGGCCTCGCGGTGCCGCTCGGGAGCCCACGTGCGCGGCAGTGTGTGAGCCTGAGCTCGCTGCATTTCTCTAATGACCTCGGGAGGGAGGGACTCATAATTCCGTGTTACAAACAAGGACTCCAAGGCTCCAAAAATCCAAAGGAGACCACACAGCTAGTGACGGGCAGAGCCAGTTTGGACGCCAAGCGGGCCTGCAGCCCGAGACCAAGTGCCGCGGCCCCCCCGCCCCGCTCCACGGGGCTCCCTGGCATCAGTGATGAGCCCCAGTCACGCCTGGCTCGGATGCGTCTCTGCCCAGGGCTCCCGGTGAGGGTTTTCACCCCAGAATTTGCCCCCTTCATCATGAATGACCCTCATGCATGTGTTGCTAGCAGACCTTTCCCTCCTGATGAATTCTGGTCGGCCACACAAAATCTCCAAGAGTTTCTGCCATACATCAGAGTGCTGGGGTGCAGCGAGGGGAGACGCACCTCCATCTGCTAATGCTTTTACCTCCAGGCCGGCTGGCCCGCACGCATCTCGCTGGCAGAGGAGGCTGCTCCAAACCCAGCCCGCAGTGCAAGCTGAAGCCACTTCTTGGGGATCATTTAGCTCAAGACTCCGTGTTCCATATTCATGATGAAATGCAAATTTCCATGTTCATGGGCGACTAGTAGCATGGTACTGGGAAAGAGTTCCAGCTGGTTAAGTTTAGGGTCCTGAACGAGTTCCAAACCAAGAATATTCTCTGGCAAGTGCCGTAGCATTTTCATCTGATGGTGAACGGGATTTTTTTTAGTTTCAATCCTGTGTGCCCTGGCTGCTCCATCCATCGGTTCTTCCGCGCTGGTCAAGTGCCAGAGACTCTGCTGCCTCCGTGGCGCCTCCCCCGTGAGTTATTCCAACCCCAGCTACTACTGAGAGAGAGACAGAGAGACAGAGAGGGAGAGGCCTACCGGTCCTGACAGTTGGGGCAACAGGAGAAGATGTGTAGGTATGTTCGGACTCATTTTGTCCCTTCCAGTCTGGTTCTTCCTGCCAGGGCCTGGAATCTCACGCTCCCTCTGGGAACCTGGGTTCTAGAAGGTTCTCCCTTCCTGCCTTTGACCTTCTTCTTCAGTTTGGATGGGTTACACGCTCACTCTCTGGATTCCTGCCCTCACTAGCCTTTCCGCTTACCCCCCTCCCAAGCTCTCAGGGTCTGTGTGGCCCTCTCCCCTCTCCTCCCACCCACCGCCTCACTCAACCCCTCCTGCTCTGGGGAAAACAGGGATACCAGCCCTGGCACACTCCCTGTGTGCCAGGCCCCGTCCTGAGTCCTTTACAGGAATTAACTCGCCGATTCTCCCAACAACCCTGTGGGATAGGCACTCCCCACCTTACAGAGGAGGAATCAGAGGCTCAAGAGAGGTTAAGTGACTTGCTCAAGGTCACAGGGCTAGGAAAGGGGAGAACCCCGGGATGTGGCCTGGCTTAACGGTGCTGCTATTCCCCCTTATGACATTTGGTGTTAAGAGCAGGCCCAGACAGGACAAAAAGGACCTCTTGGGTCCCTGCTAAGGACCCTAGGCAAATCAATTCATCTCTCCGAGCCTCTGTTTCTTTGTCTGTAAAATGGGCATGAATTTGTTCCTGACTCATTGCTTGGTTTTTAAAAGGTGAAATGTGATGACAGCTAGTAGGGAACCTGGCCCCAAGCAAGCCTTGATCCCCTCTGCAGAGCCATCACTCTGGCCCTGGGCTGTGTAAGCAGGGGACCTGTGGGGAGGGCAGTAGCCACAGTCCCAGCTCTAGGGTTCCTAGATTGATGGGGGCAGCCGACCCGGCATCATCCTGAGTCTGAGGCCAGCCCACTCAACCTCGTGCCCCCCACCCCCTTCATGTCCCTCTGCCATGTGGCCATCATCTGTCCCCAAAACTGTTCCAACCTCACTTGGAGCCCTCAAGCCCCATAAGGAGAAAAAGTAATTTTAGAGAAGTAGGGAGCTTGTGTTAAATGGCTTCACGCTCCACAAGCGTCCGCAACTCCCCTTCACGTGCGCACACACGTGGGCTAGCTATGCCCAGACGCACACACCGTAAGGGGCCCCCCCATCGAGGCCAACCCTCCACCCCTCCAAAGGAGCCAGTCTATTCAGAAAGCAAATTCCAACACGCAGTCCAAAAGAAAATAACAAAACAAAAAAACCCCCAAACTTTACTTGCATTTAGCCGTTAATAAATAATTTACAATATGTACATGCGGTGACACTCTACACAGGTCGCAGACACAAGGACGCAGTGAGGGGTCCCCACTTCCAAGCAGAACGCAATCAAACACAACCAAAATAAAGTGCTTCACTTTTTACTTCCAACACAGGGACCATCTAAAAACCAGCAGGGCGGGCCGGGGCCGAGCCTCCTACCTGCCTGCCCTGGGGTCGGGCAGAGAAAGGGGACCTCTTGGAGGGGAGGCGGGGAGCCTCCTGCGCCAGTGTATGAGAGGTCCCTGGGGAACAGCAGAAGGGCTGCCCCGAGACCGAAGGGCCAGGACAGTGCGGGGGCTGTGGGAACCAGCCTCCTGCCCCTTTTGGGGGTGGAGCCTGGCCCGGTGTTGGTCCCTGGGTTCTCTGGGACAGCAGCAGAGGCGGGACTGGTTTGGGGCTCCTCGGATGGGCAGCCCGGGCTGGCAGGAGGTGGGCGCCAGGGCTCTCGGCGGCAAGCCCCCCTCTCCTGGCTGTGTGGCCACGGGCTTAAGGGAGGGGACTCGAGGGATGAGACCAGCCAGGGATGCTCAGGGCTGAGAAGCTTGCAGACCCTGCTCCTCTCCTCAGCCTGCAGACGTGGGTGGACAGGTGGGGAGCGGGGCTCTGGGGGGCAGGTGAGGGGAACGAAGAGGATCAGGGCAGGCCAGCTGGCCCTGTCCACTGCGCCTCCTGCCCACGCCCTGCGGCCCAAGCTCCCCTTCCCCGGGGGCTCTTGCCACCTGCCGGAAAGAAGGGGACAGAAAGCAAGGGGTACTTCTGTTTAGACATTTAGAAATGAGGACATGACCTCCTAAGCACAGGAGGGGACTGGGGGGCGGGGAGGGAAGGAGCCCGAGAAGAGCATCGGAGCCTGTGAGTGGCGTTGCTCAGACCTCGTGCTGACAGCCCCTGCTGGCCCAGCTGCGGGCTTGGAGGCAGGGACCCACAGCAGGGACCCGGAGCAGGGACCCGGCAGCCAGACTGCACGCAGGAGTCTCCTCGGCTCACAGGCAGGCCATGGCAGGAAGGCACCAGGCGGGCACAACCTTTGGGTCAAAGGATGACAATTTGCTAAAGATGCCGAGCAGCCCCCCAGAGTCGTCCTAAGGCCCGAGGGGAAAGGAGGCCCCGCCTGGGGGGGGGGGTCCAGCCTCTCGGATGCCTCAGCCCCTCAGCTTAGTGTGTGCGAGTGTGCTCGTGTGTGTGTGCGTGTGGCGGGCACGGGCAGCGGTCGGCTGGGCCTGTTTCAGTGCATTGCAGGGGCGGGGGGTGGGGAGGAGCTCGACTCTGATCAATCCCAGTGTCTCTGGCAGGGCAGGGGTGGGGGGCTTCGGCCTGAGGGGCTCTGTTTTGCACATTCACACTGCGGGGCGGGTGGAGGGGAGCGGCTCCCCCCCTCACACAGCTCAACTGTCACAAACATCACAGCACCAGTCACCACGACCTCTCAAGGGCCCCTGACGGAGGGGGCGGGGTGGGGGGGGAGAGGCCACCCCCTGCCCCAGCCCTTGCCAGCACACAGCCCAGGGCAGCTCTGAGGTAACCGTCCGCAGCCCGCCGGCCAGTGGCTGCCTCCTCTCCTGACCCCTGCAGACCCTGCAGGGCCGTCCCCTCCCCCCAGCCCCCGTGCCCCCCGACGGCCCCAGCCCTCCTGCAGCCGCCCACCAGCTCAGGGACGGGCAGCCGCCCCTCTCTGCCCTACGCGGCCACAGCCTCCAGGAAGGCGGGGAGCAGGGCGAGGAGCAACAGGCTGCCCAGGAGGGGCCGGGGGGTGGGGGGCAGCTCTGCGGCGGCCGCCCGGCCCGGCGGCTCCCGAGTCCTCTCATACAGGTGCAGCCTGTCTTTGTTGGAGTGCAGCATCTTGACGTCCTCCAGGGCGTAGTAGGCGGCCAGCGTGAAGTTCACGTCGCCCGTGGTGAGCAGGTCGAAGACGCAGGCCTGGTAGTAGAGGTCCTCCACGGGCAGCTTCTCCTTGCACTTGGCCACGGCCGTCTCGTACGGGAAGGTGTCCGGGGCCGCGGGCGCGGGGCTGGCGGCCTCTGGCCTGTGGGGGCCGGGGCCCTCGGCGTTGGCGCGGAAGGCCTGGAAGTCGATCTGCTGGTTGAGGGGGCAGCCCCGCAGGCAGAGGTAGAGGCCCTGGCTGTCCCGGTCCTCCACGGCGTTGACCACCTCCTCGGGCATGCGGACCGCGAACGTCAGGTAGCGGCCCACCTGGCGCACCACGATGGTGGTGCCGATGTACTTGGCCTGGATCTCCACGTGCTGGCCTGACACCTTCTCCGTGATCTTCAGGCTGTTGGCCCCGTGCTTGTCCCCACCGTTCTTGGAGCCGTCGGCGAAGGCGGCGGGGAGCTCGTCCATCTCCGCCTGGTACACCTTCTGGTCCACGCACTCCTGGAAGTTCTTGAAGATGATGGTGAGCTGGGGGGAGGAGGGGGAAGGGGGTGGGGAGAGGGGGTTAGCGGTGCCGAGATGGTGGTGCGGGGGAGGCCCAGCCCATGCTGGCAGTGCTGGGGACAGGAGGAGCCCCCATGATGCCCCAAGCCGTCCCTCCCCATTTTGGTCACCTTTTGGTGCCACCTGCATTATTATGCACTTAATTTTTTTCTTTAAAACAACTTGTTTTACTCTAGGACAAAGGGGAAAAAAGGAGAGAGAGACAAACCAAGAGACAGACTCTTAACTATAGAGGACAAACTGATGGTTCCCAGAGGGGAGGTGGGTGTGGGGGGAGGGGTGGGGGAAACAGGTGATGGGGATGAAGAGCACGCTTATCCTGATGAGTACTGAGTAATGTATGGAATTGCTGAGTCCCTATATTGTACGGCTGAAATTAATATTACACTGTATGTGAACTATACTGGAATTAAAAACTTAGTAAAAAAAAAAAACCAACTTGTTTTATTGAAAACAAAAAACAAAAACAAAAGCAAAAAAAACCGGACTTAGAATGCGAACTTTAAATCACTCCCCTAAATAGAAAACCAGCTCATTTACTATATATAGAGGTGGACCATAAAAAGAAAAGCACAGCTAATTAAAAATAAAACTTCATTATCTATTATAGGAGGCTGAGTAATGGCCCCCAAGATATCAGGCCCTAATTCCTGGAACCAGCGAATGTTACCTTCTATGCAAAAGAGACCTCGCGGAGGTGATTAGGTTAAGGACACTGAGACGGCCAAGTTATCCAGGATTAGCTGGATGGGCCCTAAATAGAATCACGCGTGTCCTCCTAAGATGGAGGCAGGGGGAGAGGGGACCATCGAAGAGGGGAAGGCTCTTTCCACAGAGGCAGAGACCGGAGTGGGGGTGCCCATAGCCCAGGGATGCTGGCAACCACCAGAGCCTGGGAGAGGCGCTGAACGGTTTTCTCCTGGGAGCCTCCAGAAGGACGGACCCTCCTAACGCCTTCGTGTTAGCCCTGAAAGACTCATTTCAGATTTCTCACCTCCAGAATACAAGACCAGACATTTCTGCTTGTTGGAAACCCTGAATTTGTGGTGGTTGTTACAGCAGCGACAGGCAACTAAGCTGGTCCCCAACCGTCTCACGTGATCTCTCAAGCCGCCCGCGGACCTGCCGCCAGATGCCTTCCAAAGGGCCGTCAGCCACTGGCTGAGCGTAACGGCAGGTGGATGAGGACAGACTCAGGCTCACAGAGAGAACGGACAGGCCGAGGCCTGCAGAGGCCACTGTGGCGGGGCTGCCCTGAAGGGTCACCCAGCCAGGCCTCGGAGGTGAGCAGGGGGAAGAAGGAGAGGAGGGCACCAGTCAGAGAAAGGAAGACGGGGGGCGGGTGGGGGCTCCAGGGTGAGCACGCAACCCCCACGAGGGCAGCAGGGGGGCCCATGTCTGGTGGTGCCTGCAGCCGGGGATGAGGGGCTGCACCAAGCTGCTGGAGGAGAAGCAGATGGTGGGGGGCTCCACAAGTAACCGTCCTCCTGAGAACCACAGACGCAGGCGCGGTTGCTGCATCTTCTAGTCCTGTGGGGCGCTGCAGGGGAGGATGACATGACCTCCCATTCAGAGTGGAGAAGAGTCAGGCTCAGATCAAGGGACTCGCCCAAGGTCACACAGCCAGCAAGAGGTAGAACGGCTTTAGTCTCTTGGTTTCCAGCCCCTGGGCTCTTTTCGGCCACAAGCCCCCAGGGTGGGAGGCCTGGGAGAAGGATGGAGACAAACAGCCTGGGGAGCGAGCATTTCCCCTTGTTATCCTGGCTGAAGGGCCAGGCTGCTCTTTCCCTCCATAATCCTAACTAGGAAGATTGCATGGGCTGGAGACAGGAGTCCAATCTGGGAGAGAAACCACCACCCCTCCTTCATTCCTATGCCCAGGTGCCAACTTTTTACCACCGGTGGCTTGAAGACCCCTGCCCCCTGAACCGAGGGTAGCTGGAACCTGAACTCCGGCCCAAGGCCAGGGAGGGAGGCCGGGTCATGGGGCAGGAGGGCACCCAGGCCTTTTGGGGCCCCCTGCTAAGCCCCCACCCCTAACCTGCGCATTGCCCTCACCCCCCTGGGCCACCAGTCCTAGAACTTGTCCCCTGTCCCCAGGAGGGGAGAGGCCCAGCCAGCTGTGTAATGGGATCCCTGAGGGGGCCCCGGATGTCCTGGCCGTGGCTGAATTTTGTGCTTGGGCGCCCAGGCCACAACGAAGGCCTAGCAAGCAGGTCCTACGGGCAGGGGGAGGCAGGAGAGCTGTGAAGGACCTCAGCTCAGGCCCAGGGTCCGGAGAGGCCGGGCCACAGGCCAGGCAGTGTGGCTACAGTTTGGGAGGTGGCAGGGGGGTGGTGGCGGCGGCCAGGGGCACAGACAGGAGGCCGAGGGGGAAGCAGGCAGGGAGCGGCCTCAGCCTGGAGCCTCAGGAGCAGAGCTGAAGTTCTAGGCTGAGCCGAACCAACAGGGTATCGAGGGCCCGGCTGGAGGTGTCCAGGCTGTCTCATCACTGCTCACACTGGTGAAGCATACGGGTGACTGGGCCGGGAGTGCACGAGGGGCCTGAACCTTCAGAGAGAAACTCCTCTCCCCCAACCCCAGCCCGATACTCAGAAAGCTGAGGATGAGAGGCAGGCCGCGGTTGGGAATTTCGGGGACTCCAGACTCTTGGGCCTTTGTGGGCCCCCTCCTCCAACACAAATATTAAAATTACATTTTGTGACCACACTGGTGTCAAGACTAATACAGTCGAGGTTGGATGATGCTGACTTTTCCTTCTGACTTGAAAACGAATGAAAGCTTTTTCGTGGGTCCCTGGATGCCTTGGGGCCCCTGGCGCTGTGCCTGTTGGGGCCCGGCGAATGGTCAGGATGGACGGGGACACATTCTGCTGTCCACACGGGACACAAGGAGGGGCTGGTGCTCCGAAGCTGGAGGCCGGGGGGCCTGCCAGAGTCCAGGCCCGGGGTAGGCACGGCGTCTTGGGCACCGGACTCCGTGTCCCCATGCCTCCCTGGGAGGCCCCTGCCCAGTCCTGCGAAGCGGTGCACCCCAGGTTTGCTGTGGGATGTCACAGGTGGCTGCAGCCCCCCCATCCCGCTTGGAGCCCTACCCATCGGACCCCAGGAGCCTGCCGCTGCCCTGCCATCCCTGGCCGACAAAAATGCCCACTTCCTAGCTCCACCTCCTGCTGCTTCCTTCTCTCGATCCCACGGCGCCCGCCCCGATGTGGAGGCTGCCTGTGGGGGGCCGGGAGGTGCAGCCAGGGTGGTCTGGGCAGTGGGTGGTCCTGCCATTGGGGGGCGAGCGACGGGGGGCTCCGGTGTCCCTGCCTGGTGTGCCGGGGAGCAGGGGGGTGGGGGTGGGGGGCTGCTGGTTTCCAAGTGCTATCCGTCTCCTGGAACAGGAAAAGCTGGTTTCCCTCTAACAGTCATCTCTCGTGGAGACAGGCTCCTGGAAGGCTGACAGCCTGCTAGACTCTTCTTGGCACCAGCGCCAGGGACTCCACCACAAGTCACAGCATGAAGGGGCCTGTCGAGAGCCGGGCGGCTCGCTGCTAGCTCGGCCACGGGTACGGCTGCCACTCCTGTCTTGGCCGCCCCCCTTCCCAGGGGGGCCCGAGGCCCTCCACCGCGCCAGGCCCGGCGCTAGGGGCTGTACCCACACAAGGCGGGCAAAGAGTCTGAGAGCCTTGTCCTCAAGGAGCTCACCCTCCAGGGGGCGACAGACCAAGGAGACGAGTTAGGCGGTGGGACGGATGGTGAGTTCTAGGCAGAACCAGCACAAGGGAGAGGGGAGGAAGGCAGAGGCGCGAGCTCCTCCTCTTCCGGAGCCTCGGTTTTCTCATCTGTACAATGGGGGTGCTCCCAGCACAGCTGGAGGGAGGGTGGTGGAGCTGGGGGCTGAGCACAGAAGGAAGTCCCATGGTGGCAGGAGGCTGGCTAAAACGTCAGCTTGGGCCGGCAAACACGGCATCGCGGCCACCTTCGAGATCGGAGGGATGGGCCAGGCTGGATATTGCTGGGGTCCCAGGAAACGAGCCAAGGCCCCTCGGGGTGAGGGGAGGGCCGAGGGCAGTGGGCTCAGGTGGGCAGAAGAGCCTGGCAGAGGGCTCTTGGGGGGAGGCACAAAAACCCCCTCAGAGATAACAGCCCCTTGACTTCTCGTGCTTCCCCAGAGGCTCCAGGCTGCCCTCCCGTCCCCGTCCCTCCGCCAGTCTTCTGGCCCCGTCCTTCTGAGCCAAGCTCTGCAAAGGACTTGGGGGAGGCCCTCCCCAGTGCTCTGGGCAGAGCATCCTGCACCCACCCCAAGGCCCCCCTTGCCTGCTTTGGTCCTCCATGATCAGCCTGGGAGTGGCCACAAGGGAGGAAGCCCCCCGCACAGAGGCTGACACCAAAGTGGTGTTTCGTCAACGTCTGCGGAATCAACGAATGAACAAAACTGACGCACCTGCGCACCAGAGGCCCAAGAGAACAGGTGTGGGCAGGCCAAGGGCGCTGGAGAGCAGAGACTGGTGTCTCTCACCCGGGTAACCCGGTCTGCTTGGGGGCCTGAGACCGACTTGGCCACAGACACGGACCCTGTCATGGCTGGGTCTCCGGGGGGCCCAGCCTCGTGTTGCCTCCTGGCTGGTGAGGAGGTAGCAGAAGGCTGTGGGGCTCTCAGCCTGCTGGGGAGACTGAGGTGACCCTAGGTCACAGCAGAGAGGGGCTGGGTTGGTCAAGCTCTGGTGGGGAGCCCCCTACTCTCTGGAGCCTCCATGCTGGGATAGGAAGAGCAGTGCTCCCATCCCTGACTGGGCACTTCTGCCCAATGCCTGGGAGCCTGGAGCCGAGTGGGCCTTTGAAGAACACTGTCAAGTGCCTGGATCATTAATCTATGTGGTTTGGGGACAGCATCGCTGGGCTCCGGGTCCCAGGCTGTGCCTGGGAAGAGCTGAGTGTGGTATCCAGGGGTTCTAAGCCCGGGCATGTCACCCCAGCCTGCGGGACCTGACGGGACGTGGCCTAAAGGCTCTTGGCCCCCCCTGCCGCCTTGCCGGTCACAAACCACAATTCCTCCCAGGTCTGTGCTTGGCTCTGTTATCACATCTGGTGCTCACACCAGCCTGGGTTAGGAGGGGCCGGGCTTCTGAGGTCCACGTCGCTCTCATATCCTCAGACTTCCCTGTGTGCCCCTGCCAGGGTGGGACGGGGAGGCGGGGTTCCCTCCCGCAGTCTATTTGCTGCCGGATTTAGAAGCTGTAGCCTCAGGCTCCCGGCGTTCATTTATCTTGGCTCTAGGGAAGGAGGGAGGTGGGTAGGTGGAGGGGCCCCAGGGAAGGCGGCTGGGTCCTTGACGAGGGCCCCCCCTCATTCTGCGGAGGGCTGAGAGGGTGGCCAGGCTGGAGAGAGTGCTGGCCGTAATTCTGCCGCCCACCAGGCTGCACAGCCTGGTGCCAAGGGCCTGCTAGGGGGTCCACAGGGCAAAGACCCACTTGTTTCTTATCCTGCAGCTGGGCCCAGAAAGAGACCCTCTGGAGGCATGCGGGGGCCACCAGGGCAGAGGGAGATGGCGGGAATCTTCCCGACTGCCAGGTCACCTCGCTGTCCTCCTGTGGGACGTGGAGGGACAGGAAGGAACAGAAACGCCCTTTGTGGACCAGCCTGGCGCTGCCCAACGTGTCGCTTTGCAACGTGCTTTTCCTAGGAAAACAGACCCACTGCCAATCCGGAACCCCCCGGGGGCTCTGGTGGGCCAGGCCTTGAGGTGGCACATGGGTCCCCATCCCCTGCACTCTGAGAGCCCACCAGCCTCCTGGCCTTGAGGCTGCTCCTTCTGGCTGAGGTCTGAATAGGGGGTCACGGGAGACCCTCCTGGAAGCACGTAGGGGAGGGAGAAGATGGGGGTGTCCAAGTGCCTGGGCCACGGGCCACATCCGTGGCTGCCTCTGGCTGTGGCCCTGTGAGCAGGACTTGAGTCCTGCCACCCAGAGACTGAGGCCTTCTGGGGTCAGAAGATAACCGGCTCTCTGTGGCCTCTGGGGTGCCAGAAGGGGACAGCCACTCATGGCCAATGAGAACATGCCCATCTACAGAGCCACCCGGCCCAGGTCAAATGCTAGCTCAGCGTTCCCAGCCCACTGCACTTTGGGCAGAGAGGCACATCCCACTTTGGGGATGCGTCAAAGGGAGCTGCCCCAGCCAGGCAGCGCTGGCCTGAGGGAGGAGGGAAAGCTGCATGGGTGGCCCCTGGGATGCTCAGTAAGCTGCTTCTCTATCCGGGCTTGTTCCATCTCCCCGTGTTCCCAGACACCACAGCCGCTCTGCCTTGGGGCTGCTACCTCTCCGTATAGGCATGGGGCAAAGAAAGGGCAGGACGGTAGCCTGCTGACCCCATCAGCATCCTAGAGCCCTGGCCTCTAAGCCGGGGTCCCTAACCCCATCCATGCCAGAATCACTTGGGGCTTTAAAACACACACACACACACACACACGCCCACCCAGAGATCTGGTGTCATACCAGCCTGGTGGGGGCCCGGAATCACTATCTTCTAAAATCTGTTCAGTTTGTAAAGGTGCGAACGTGAGAACCCCTGGGCAGGACCGCTGTCACCTCCAGGGGTGCTGGGTCCCCGTGTCCAGGACAGTCGGAGTTCTCCCTCCCTGCGGGCAGTGATGGAGACACACCCGCACAGAGGCTTCTCTTTTATCAGGATTTAATACTGGAGTTCTACCAAAATGCAGTTTGAGGGCAAGAAATAGTCCAAAAGCCTGAAGCCTAGTGCTCTGGGCCGTGTTTCTCCTTTACACCTGGACCCGGCGTTTGCCCAGGTCCGCAAGCACACACACGCGCATGCACACAACCGGAACTCAGCTCCCTGAAGGGTGTACCCTTCCCACGTACAACGCACTGGCAACCTGCCTTTCCTATCGGTGTTTGGTCAGGCCAGCCTGTTCTACCCTGGCCAATTAAAAAAAAAAAAAAAAAAAGTGACATGCTTTTGCTGGGTTCTGACCTCAGAAAACTGATTCCACAAACCCCTAGCAGGCAGCATCCAGCATTTGAGAAACATCACACTCTCGGCAACGTGAAGAGGTGGTTCCCGGCCGGTTGAGCTCATGACAAAGACCCTCTAGAACATTTCCTTTGTAAACAATCAGCCCATTTACTGGAAATAAGAACATGGTGGGGGGGGGGGTGGTGGTTGCAGGCGGTGTCTGGCTCTGGGCCCCGGTGACAGCAGGGCCGCCCAAGCCTCAGTCTCCCCCTTACCTTGCTGGTGGCGGTGGCGGCCGAGCCGGGCAGCACAGGTGTGTTGGTGACCTGCACGTTCAGGTAATTATTGTCGATGAGAGGCCAGGCGCCCTGCACCTTGCAGGTCTGGAAGCGGTCTGTGAAAGTCCTGAGGTGCGGGTCCCCGAAGAGGCCGCAGTGCGTGTAGTTGGGGGCCGCCGAGTGCTTGTGGAAGCTCTTCTCGTAGTGGCAGATCTCGGGGCTGTCGGAGCGCTCCTGGCTGTCGCCCGGCGGCGGCAGGGTGCGCAGGCGCGGCTGCGACGTGGGGCCATCCTTGGAGCAGTTGTACTGGCTCATGAGGTCCTCGATGCCATGGACGGCCGAGTGGTAGGCCAGGTCGCCCCGGCAGGTGCGGGCCGTGCGCCGCGTGCACAGGGCGTAGGTGCGCAGCGCGGCGCAGAACTCGGGGGCGTCGTCCGAGGCCGGGGAGTGGCTGCCCGCCGTGGCGCTCCAGAACTCAGAGTTGCACTTGAGGATCTTGCACGGGGACACGGCTGGCGGGGGGTGGGGGGGGGAAGGAAGGGACACGCGTCAAGGCCAGCCGGCGGGCTCCCGCCTCCTCTGCCCCGCGGACCGGCGCCGCGGGCACACGGCCCGGGACCTCTCTTCCCAGACGCGCCACCCGCGCTGCACGTTCGCGCCCCGATGGCCAATCATCCCCGCCGGTGGGCGTGCGGGGCGGAACCTGCCCATCCCAGCCTTCCTCCGGCCTGGGGTGACCCCAAGGGGCCAGGCGTGCAGAGCGGCCTGCCGCCAGGGCCCGTGGAGGCCCCTCCCACAGTTCCCACCTGCGGCGTGGTCAGTGTTCCCGGGCAGCCGGACTCGGGGAGCTGACAAGCCACCCTTGGGCCTTTGACATCTGCTGACACCGTCACAGCCATCCCCAAGCATTGTGGCACGCTCAGCAGAAATGTGGCTGGGAATTAAGGCCCACTGTGTGTGCTGGGCTCTGCGACTGTGTGACCTCGTACAAAGCCCTGGGCTTCTCTGTGCCTCGGCAGATTTACCTAGAAAATGAGTCATAGTAGTATGTACCTTATGAGGCTGGTCAGAGTGGTTAAGGACCAAGAATGGCACTGACTAGAGCAGAAGGTCAGTGAACGTTGGCTAGTAGGATTACTCCATGAGCTTCGGTCCCAGAAGGCCTGGTTCCGGCCAGCTTGTCTGCAAGAGCAAGGGCAGCTTCCCTCTTGGTTGTCATCGCTCCATCCCTCCCTCCTCTGTCCTGCTCAGGAGAGCATGCTGGGAAGCAACGGAGAGCGATAGCGTTGGATCTGGCCTTAATTCATGGTTTTTTTAAAAGTCACTCACAAGCTTTGAGATTTTAGTGACCATTAGCTACGAGGGACCATGCCTGAAAACTGTGGCTTTAACACACCTGAATCTTGGAGGCTGCCCTTTCCTGGCCTCCCCGATTCTTTTGCACAGTCCCTAGTGACTTCAGTGGCCAGGCATGCAGACCGGCAGCAGGAAGGAAGGTTCTACAACAGGCTCCAGGAGCACAGGGGCCGGCAGACCAGCTGGGAGGCCTGGCCTCTGCGCTCGCAGCCCAGAGCTGGAGTGATCAACAGGAGGATGGAACGACTGCTCCAGCCGCTCCTGACCGGGCCCCTAGCCAGGCTTGAGAACCCTTGGAAAAGTCAGTTTGCTTCTTTGGTGCTGGCCTTTTACCTCCAAAATCAAGTCGCCAATAAAGCCAGGGACAGAAATACCTAAGGGCAGGCTACGGAACATCTGAGCATCGGCCCTGTGCCCGGACGCCTGGATGGCCTATCTTTTGGAGATCTAGGCCTCAGCAGGCCCCTGCATGAGCTGAAGCTGACCTGCCCAGGTCACACACCTGGGCACGGGGGAGCCCGTGCTCGTCCTAACATTCGGGCTCCTCTCCTAACTTCCCCTGTATTTGTCACCACTGCTGACAAACGAGGCTGTTTCTGGTGAAGTCTGCGTGGACATTTTTTCTTTTGAGAGGTTACATATTTACTTAAATGTGTATTAGGAAAAATAAAGCAGATTTGATATGAGAACTACAGAGTTAAGCAGGTTTGGTAAGTAAGGGGGGTAATTGCCATGAAGAGGCACCTGGGGTGAACAGGGGAAAGGCATTGTTGAGAACCGCCCCCCATGGTCTCCCTCCCACAGATGTGTGCTCTTGGGGGCAGGTGTCCCTTGAAAGGCAGCTAGAAGATTCTCTGGCCCTGCTGTCTTCATATTTCGCCAAACAACAGAAGACACGCAAGGCCCAACCGACCCTGCAAAAGGCTAATGTGGCCTGTGTGGGAGAAGGTGAAGGAGCCCCTCACAGTGGAGGTGAGGTGAGGAGAGGGGGCAGGTGTGAGTGGAGGGGCGCCGTGCAGAGGAACACGCTGGGGGGGGCCACCTACTCTCCGTCTCTGGTCGGCTGCCCCCACGCACGGCCCGCTCAGGCAGCCCCCCCGATTCCGGGCGCAGGGTGTGCTGACCTGCGATGCTCTCTCGGAATCATGGAGATCGGGACGTCTGAGAAAACGCTCTGAGTGGCACACGGGCCTGTGCTGAGTGGCGGCCACCGGGCTGTGCCCACACCGCCCACCAGCCCGCCAGCGTCGGGAGCCCTGCCTGCAGTCAGGCTCGGGTCCCCCTCGGGTGCTCGGCATGCCCAAAGGGGAGAAAGGCCACCACCGGCCCCTTTACAACCAGACGGTGGCAACCCGAGCAGGAGCTGTGTGGGCCTCAGCTCTGCCAAAGCTGACCCGGGACAGCAGAGAGCCAAGTCGCAGCTACTCTGTCTCTGGCTGGTGCCTGAGCTCAGCCAGCCCACCGCGCGGCCCCAGGCCCCACGGCCCTGCCCGCCTCCCTGAGGGGCACAGCCAGGCTCAGCTGGCTGCCTTTCTGGCCCCAGGTCTCTGGAAGAAGCTGAAGCAGGATTTTGCATCTGGCCTGTTGGGCCTAAGAGCCCACACCCAGGGCAGTTCCTTGACATTATACAATTAGCACAGACGATCGCCTCCGCCCGCCAGCCGCTGAGTGGTTCAAGGGCACGCTTCACCACCAGCGACCTTCAGCCTCTCCCTGCAAGAGTCCCCCACCAGCCGCGAGGCCCGTGGTCCCCAGGTGCCCCGTGGCCTTGCCCCCTGCGGACCAGTTCCCCGGGGGCCGCTTTCCAGCGTGGGCAGCGGCTACAAGGCAGGGGTCAGGAACGGGGCCTGGGGCAGGACCAGCCTGCACACAGACAGTGTGGGGTATGCGGAGTGTCTCACTCCTGACCCCCGTTTGTGGCTCCTTCCCCACCCAGGGGCGACTCCGCAGGTGGTGGTAGGAGACTGATGTCTTCACAGCCTTGAAAATGGCTCAGAGCAGCTTCCCAGAGGCAGAGTTCTCCAGTAGGTCTGGGGTTCGTGACCGAAATCCTACAGAGGTGCCCCGAAAGGGGGTCATCAGGTGGGATCTGCCAGTACAGACGTGGCTGGCCCTTAATCCTCCTAGTCCCTAGTGACTTCAGTGGCCAGGCATGCAGACCGGCAGCAGGAAGGAAGGTTCTACACAGGCTTGTTGCGCTCTTCAAACCTCCCCATGCACACCAACCGCCTGGGCTGAGTCAGCAGGCCTCAGTGGGCCCGAGGCTCTGCATTTCTGCCAGGCTCCCAAGGGGGGCCCACGCTGCTGGTCACACTTCTGGCCACACTTCTTCAGAGTTGGGCCATTTTCTTTTCAATGGTCACGAAAGGGCCAAGTTCAAACCTGCTGGAGCCCAGCCAGTCCGGAGTGTGTGAATGGGGCATTTCCTTTGGCGTGGGAGGGGGGTGCAGAGGGGGCAAAGGGAGGAGGCGGCTCTCCCAAGGTGCAAGCCTAGCAGGACACAGCTGCCAACCCTGAGCAGTCCTGGGCATCCCCGCCCCCCTCCGCAGGCCCTGGGCCCTTGGAAACGAGGCCTTTCATCTCTCGGTTCAAACTCAGTGGGGCTCCCTCCCTTGCTCCCCTCCCCATCTCAGAGCCTCCCGAGTGGTGAAGGCAGCTCCGCCCACCACCCCCAGGGGGCGACCGCGGTCATTCTGCGGCTGCCCTTGCACCCAAGAGGTAGGCCTTCCGCCCCAGGCAGGGTCCACACAGGGGTGAACTCCTCCAGCCCCTCGCTCCCACGAAGTCCCACTGATCCCATTTCTCAGCGGTCTGGAGAACGTTCCCGATGTTATCACCCGGGACTAGGGACAGACCTGGAGAGGTGTGAAGGTGACGCTGGCCAGATGGGGTGGTGGGCAGTGGGCACCGGAGGGAGAGTGTCCGCCTCAAAGTCCCGCTCTGTCCCCTACCAGTAGTTGTGGGAACTTGGCTCTGCCTCACTTTCCTTATCTATGAACTGGAGGTAGCACCCACCTTAGAGAGTTGCCAAGGGTTGAACGAGAAGATGCACTTGGTCAGCCTGGGACCCCGTGGGTGCTCAACAAACGGGGGCCCTGACCAAGGTCTCAGAGGGGGATAAACACCTCCACCCCCATGAGGTAAGAGGTTAGAAGTCACAGGCGGGGACAGGGAAGGGACAGGAAGGGCACTGGACCGGAGTGTCCCTTCCCCCACCTCACCCTCGTCCTCACGTTAGGGCCCTGGCTGGGCTCTGCCCCCCACCTGGATGTGGACGGGCTGAGTGTGCATACAGCTGTTTCAGTGCACTGACCACCCACTCCTGCGGCCCACCCGGATCGGCCATGACTGGCTGGGCGCCACACTTCCCAAGGGCACCTGGGATGACTTCACCCACCACCACACTCACTGTCTTTCACCGGGGAGGATGCGATGGACTGAATGTGTCCCCCCCCAGATTCCTGTGTTGAAGCCCCCACCCCAATGTGATGGTACTTGGAAAGGGGGGGGCCTCTGGGGGATGATTAGGTTCAGATGAGGTCATGAGGTGGGTGCCCCATGATGGGATTAGTGTCCTCCTAGGAAGAGACACCAGAGCGGGGGGCTCACCCTTGGCCACGTGAGGACACAGCAAGGAGGTGTGAGTTAGAGAGCTTAGTTAGAGAGCTGCCACCAGAACCCGACCGTGCCTGGCACCCTGACTTTCAGCCTCGGGAACTACAAGCCTTGCCCTGTCTCTCCTCCCCTTCCTGGGCCCTCCTGACTCCCCCCCTGAAGAAGCCAGATCACTGGAGACATTCACTTGGCCAGGGGCCAGAAGACCAGGTGGACTCGGCTTCCCCTATTCCATTGTCCCCGCTCCTTGAAAGGACCTGTGGTCACTGAGGGGTGACCTGGGCTGGGATGACTCTCCCAGCTCTTGAGGGGGACAGGGCATGGAGGAGGCAGTGAAGAGAGCTCTCATCTCTTGCTTGCCCTCCCCCCCACCAGCCCCTGGGACCCAGTCTCTTCCTCCTGCTGCGGGGCCCCGCCTTCTCTCCCGCAGCCATCCTTTCCTCTCTGGTGTCCCAGGCGCCCCACGATACCTCTTCCACCCAGACGTTTCCTGAGAGATGGTGGAATCAGAAACTTTGGGTCCTGTAGCACAATTTCAACAAGTTCGCTTTTGCTCTTGTTAACGAATAAAGGAACAGACCTTAGGTGCTCTCTCTCCCTCTCTCTCTCTCTGACTCTCTGTCTCTGTCAAATAAATAAATAAAAATCTAAAAAAGAAACAAAAGAAAAAACGTGGCGTATTTTGGTGTTTATACATCGGACTCTCTCCTTCAGAGAAAACGAGAGCACTTGCAATTTCCCCACCCAGACAGAGCACCGGGGTGAATTCAGGGTCAACAAGGCGGTCGGTGACAGGTTTTGTGTCACTGGGCAATGCCACGCTGGAGATTCTCGGGAAGCGGGGGACCTCACTTTCGGAGGCGGTGCTGGTGGGGAGGGTTTAAAGGTATGTGCTCTAGAGGCAGATGCTCACGGTCCAATTCCAGCTCTGGCGCTCAGTGCTGTGTGGCCATGGGCAAATCCACTAACCTCTCTGAGCTCAGTGTTGCTCTCTGTGCCACGGAGATGCGTCAGGACTTTCATCAGTGGCTTCAGGGACCCGTGGAGTTGATGTAAGCAAACCCTGAGAACACTGGAAGGAAGCTCAGTGGAAGTCAGTTTTGTGTTAACTTGGCTCGCTTAAATAGTCATTTGTGGGGCAGACTCAGACCTACCTAACAGCTAATGTGTGCTGAGCACTTACTAGTTCCCGAGGCTGAGCAGCACATTGTACAGGTATCTCCATTAACCCTATGACGGCCCATTCAGCAGCCAGGCACACTGAGGCCTAGCGGCATTACATAGCCCCCTCCTCCTTCACCTTAGGTACCTCCACACACACCAGGCCGAGCCCATGGGCTCTGGGCCACAAAGACAACGAAGAAGGGGCTCTGCCCTTCAGGGGGCTGATGGGGCAGGGGCGGCACGTGCAGTGGGGGCAGCAGGGGGTGTGACCCACAGGACACACAGGCTTCTCCAAAAAGGAAATAATGATGACAATAATGACGCCCCGATCTTCCCTGGCCCGTGTGGACTGCAAACCGCTCGAACGCCAGATCTTCACGGCTACTCTGAATTGGCGGGCAAGAATTTTTTTCTCCATTTGATACGTGCACGCATGCCTGGCTCACACAGCCAACAGGCTTTGGGGGGCTATTTTCTCTGCTTTTCAAAGTGCTTGTGCCCTACCTTTCTGGGGACACCAGCTGAGAAGGATTCAGGTCCTGAAATTCCCAACAGCGAGATGTGTTTTCTTTGACCATGCCCAGTTCCTGACGTAGGGCCATCGCCACCCCTAGGTTCTCAGGTCAGTGACCACCCCCCAAATGGATGGTGAGCCCTCGTTTAAGGCTCCCGGCCAAGCACTCCCACTACAGACGGAGAAGCTAGAGCTCAGGGTGGGGGGATGGCTTGTAAGAGGCCAGGGACTGGCTGGGACCAGACTTGCGGGGCTCCCATCCCCCCCGACCCCTGCCTTCTCTCCAGCCCTCCTGGGCCTGTCTGCCTAAAGTGGTCACGCATGAGCTGTCATTTCCTGGGGGTCACACGGAAGGGACTGCCAGGGCTGGACAGTCCCCACGGGTGGAGAGCCGAGGGGCCCTCGACCCCCTCTTGGAGTCATCCTGCTGCCCCATGTCTACTCCACTAAATCATGGGCTGGAGGCCACTCCAGGTCAGGAACCTGAATGTAACCTGGCCCAGCATCAAAAGGAAAAGCTCTTGGCTGCAGTGTCACCTGCCAAAGAAACCACAGACGGGCTGATTTTTATGTCCCATATCTTAAAAGAAAAAAGAAAAAGAAAAAGAAAAAGAAAAAGCACGAGACCTTAATTCCAGGCAGGAAGCCTTGGACTTTTTCTGATGTGAACATCCAGGGAAGGATGCACGGAGAGGAAAGTGGGAGAGGTTGAAACAAATCTTACTGCAACTCATGCAGGCAGGAAGAGGAGACCAGGCTCTGCAGGGTGAGCCCCCTTGGTGCTTTTGGGCTGACAGAAGGTCATGGCTGCCCCCTCCCTGCC